GAGCCAGGCATCGCTCCATGGAGGACAGGGGTCTAGTGATTTCCTCTGAAGTGCAGGAGGTGCTTGCACATGCCATTTCACAGGGCATAGCTGATGGGTTTCAGCTCCAGAATGCTCCATCAGTGGGTGGGTGCAGGAAGGAACCTGTGGCTTTCACTAGCAGGGTGAGGCATCCATCCCTGGAATCCTCTCTCATCAGTGAGGTTTCTGTTGGCGATGAGCAGGATCAGGATGACCAGGAATTGTCTGAAGACGAAAATCTTCCCCCTGACACCCCTGCATTCTCAAGTTTATTTAGTCCCACTACATTCAAGTCCATTTTGCATAAGGCTAAAGTCATCACACAACTTGGCGTGCCCCTCAGGCTGGTCAGGGAACTCCCAGAGCGGATACTCCTAATCCCAGGAACAATATGTTCAAGAAGCAGGCTCCAGCCCAAGATTTGGTTTCTGTGCCTGAACTGTTTTTAGACGTGGTACAACATCAATGGGTCCAACTGGACTCCTTAGCTGCTCCCAATGGAGGGGACAAAAAACTACTCGGTAGAGGATTCTTTGGAGAATATTCTCAAAACTGTCCCCTGTAAATTCCCCTGTGGCCTCCTTGACATTTAATTCAGTTCTTCCAGCTGACCTCATTGAGGGCCTCAAGTCAGAGGATAGGAAGGCGGAAAAAGCCTGGAACAAAATTCTCAAGCGGCTGATTGGGCCATTAAGGCTTCTTCCTCTGCCTCCTTCTTCAATAGGGCTTCCATCCTGTGACTGAAGGATCTTCTGGCTAAATTGCCTGCAGAAGACACACCTTTACCCCAAGACTTGAATAAAATCATTGCAGTGTCCCAGTACTTGGCTGATGCTTCATTGAATGCAGCCAAATTTGCCTCTAGGGCGCTGGCATCTAAGATAACATTTAGACGCCTTCTCTGGCCCTGCCACTGGCAGGTGGATATGGTCAAAATGGAAGCTCGCAGCTGCCTCCTTTAAAGGGGACAAGCTGTTTGTGGAGACTTTGGATTCGATCTTGGTTGAATCCAAGGACAAGAAGGTTCTTCCCACCAGTGCAAAGAAGCAGGATAGGAAGTCCCGCCCCTGTTTTAGGAAGCAGTCCTTTTGGGCATCTTTCTCCTTGTTCAATCCCTCAGTTCAATAGGTCGTATTCCCAATCCTCTGACAGGGCCCAGGACAAGCAATCCTTTCAGGACAGGGGCAGGCAACAGTACCCCTACTGCAGGTCTAACTGTGGGGGAGGGGCTCACAGAGACCATTCAGGAAGTACAAGTGACCAGTTAGGGTCATCGTGGGGCGACTCCAGCAGTTTGCCACCCAGTGGGACCTCACCACATCGGACTTTGAGTCCTGCAGCTGGTGAGGCAGAGTCTCACCTTCGAGTTCACTTCTCTTCCCTGAGAAACTTTGTCCCACCAAGAGGGCACTCATGCAAGAGGGAATTCAGCATCTCCTGAACATCAATGCCATGAAACCGGTGCCAGAGGACCAGGAGGCAAGAGGATTCTACTCCATCCTCTTCCTGGTTCCAAAAAACCTAGGGGGGGGGGGTGGCACGCAATATTGGACCTCAAGAAATTATCACATAAAGTACAGGAGGTTCAAGATGCTGTCTCTGTAAACCATCCTGGCGGGGATAAGGCATGGGGATCTTCTCACCTCAGTAGACCTAAAGGAGGCATATCCACACATTCCAGTTTGGCCACATCATCGAAGGTTCCTGAGGTTCTCCTATACTAGCCGACATTACTAGTACAGGGTCATGCCCTTCGGCCTGTCGTCAGCACTCAGGACCTTCACCAAAATTCTCTCAGTTGTAGTAGCAGCCCTGCGAAGAAGGCCAATTTGACTGGTCTGCTACCTGGATGACATCCTGTTACAGTTGTCATCCAGGGAGCAGGCGGTTCATGACCTCCGCACCACCATGAGGAGTCTCCAAGCACACGGATTCTCCATGAACCTGGAGAAGAGCCATTTGGAGCTGACCACCAGGCTCTTAACCTAGGAGCAGTGATAGATACCCTAGCTTGCAAGGTTTACCTATCACAGGACAGGTTATCCAGCCTGAGGGCCCTGACCCTCAAGGTGCAGGGAGCATGAAGGGTGCCGGTGGTTCGTCTGTCCCAATTATTGGGAAAGGTGATACCCTGCATATCCGTGGTTCCCTGGGCAGCGCTCCATGCAAGGACTCTCCAGTGGCTCCTGCTACCTCACCAGAGGGCCAACAGGAGCAGTTCCACAGCACTAGTTCAGCTTTCCTCGAAAGCAAGGCGCTCCCTGGGATGGTGGCTCTCTCTGGCTGTTGAAAGAGGTCTCAAGTTCAAGAAACCGGAGCAACTGGTGGTGACGACGGACGCAAGCTCATCTCGACAACCAGGTGACGCAAGACAGGTGGTCTCCAGAAGAATCGGCCCGCAACATCAACTGGCTCAAGTTGAGAGCTATGAGACTTGCCCTTCGCCACTTCAAACGGCACATTCAGCATCACCACATCCTGTTGACGACAGACAATGTGGCCACCAAGGCCCACATCAACCAAAAGGGGGGATGCTCTCCCGCTTCCTCACGGTGGAAGCGGAGTCCTTGGGCAGATGGGCTGAATTACATCTTCAGTCTCTGCGGGCAGACTACATTTCAGGACTGGACAACACCCAAGTGGACTAGCTGACCAGGACCACCATAGACAATTCGGAATGGCACCTGCATTCGGACTTGTTCTTCGAACTTACCCAGAGATTTGGGAGTCCGATGGTCGACCTGTTTGACAATCAGGAGAATGCACATCTTCCCCACTTCTTCGCCCACTTCCACTTTCCCCGAGCAGAGGGGAAGGATACCCTCTGCTGCAAGTGGCCACCGGTCTGCTGTACGGAGACCCGCTACTGTCAGAATCTATGATTCAACTTGGTCTATCTTTGCCACGTGATCTCAATTTGGTTACCACTGCAGTACCACACATCTTGGACTTCATGCAGGAAGGTTTGGACAAGGACTCCAAACACTCCGGAGACAGGTGGCGGCTCTGGCCACTGTCTGGGCTGGGCATCCATTCAAGACCCTCAGCAAATTGCCGTGGGTGCACATCTTCCTCAAGGTCGCCTCGAATCTACGCCCTCCAGTTATTGATCGCTACCCCACGTGGCAGCTCTTCGTAGTTGTTAAGGCCCTGACTTCGCCCCCTTTCGAACTGCTTCATTCTGTTAGTCTCCGACATCTGACTCTTAAGACCGTTTTCCTCATTGCCATTACCTCAGCGTGGAGGATATCCGTGTTGGCAGTCCTGTCAGTTCGGGATGATTTATGCATTATTCATCCAGACAGGGTCATCCTCTGCCTGGACCCGTCATTTATTCCCCAAATTAACACTTGGCTTCACAGATCTCAGGAGGTGATCTTACCAGATTTTTGCCACAACTGAGGCATACCAGAGAACGTACCTGGTATAAACTGGATGTGCGACGGACCCTATGCAGATACCTGAAGAGGACAGTGGAATTTCGCAGGTCTGAGGCGTTGTTCATCTTTTTTCAACTGGTGTTGATGGGGCAGAAGATACATCATCCACCATCGGATGGTGGCTGAGGCCTTGCATTGCCTTGGCATATGAACATCAGTCCAGGACAGTTCCACGCAACATCACTGCCCACTCCACGAGGACTGCTTCCACGACGGTTGCCTGGGTGACCCAGGTGTCAATAGAGGACATTTGTAGGGCGGCAACCTGGTCATCCCCCTCTTTGTTTATCCGGAACTATAACTTAGACATGTTTGCCTTGGCTGAAGCTTCATTTGGCAGATGGGTGCTACAACAAGTTCACTCTGCGGCTGAACCCTTGGCCTCCTCTTCTATCCTCCCTGGAGACAACTAACTTGGGTATGTTCCATGCTTGGACTCTCCAAGCAGTGCACAGGAAAATGACTATTGGCTTACCTGAAGGATCCTTTTCTGTGCAATGCGGGAGAGTCCATCACCACCCTGCTCTGTGTGGGCCCAGGGTTCGGGACCACCTGATTTTCTCCATCCCATCTCATCACATCTTCTGTACAGGCATTATTAAAAAATCTGGCCTTAATGAGGAGCAGGAGGTGTGGCTAAAGATTCTGAACTCAGTCCTTGGACAATCAGACTAATGTAACCATGCTTGGACTCTCTTGCAGTGCACAGAAAAGAACCCTCAGGTAAGCCAATGGTCATTTTCTGATACGTATTGTGTGTGTGTATGTGTGTGTATCCTCCTTCAGCCATAGATAACTGACCTTCCCGGAGTAAATGCCAGTCCCCATCAGATCCACCTGGTATTTTTCCCCTAAGGTTGATTTCTGCCTATGTAGAATGTCCTTGCCCTATTGAAACAGTCTGGCCAAGAAAAAGGAAGAAGTTGGAGTCACCCCCTTTTGACCAATAGCTGAACAATGTAATTTTTTAAAATGTACACCTGTTAGTTATCTGTAGGAGATAGAAGCAATATTAATTCCACGTTCTCATATTGTAGGGCCTATATTTAATTTATGTATTTGCTATAAAATTGACCCTAGTTAGCATTTTTCTGTCATCCTCATTGTTTCCTACTATTGCTTTCCGGGGAATAAAAAAAAATGTCAGAAATGCTATACTTAGAACTTTCATCTTATGTCTTATTTAATCATTAGCTGGGTGGGTGATCTCCTTCCCCAGAAGAATGATGCAGTAATAAAAAGGATTCTGTTCTATGGCTGCTAACATATTTTAAAGTTTAAACAGTTATTAGTTTTTAAAATAACAGTTGGCAAAATATTTTCACCTTTGAAATCTGAATTGCTTAATTGTCATAGGCTACTGAAAGAAGCCTAGGAAAATTAATCTTGTTTAGGAAATATAAATTTGGTTTTATAAAAGTTTTGAAAGTAGTTTTGCCTCTTGTTTTTTTATTGGATATATAATAAGCATTTTTGAAATCCTTCTGGGAATATTTTGGCACTGATCTCATTGACCTTTCTTGCAATCATTTTAACTAGGAAACATTAAAGGTAATGAAAGGAGTGGCATGTGGTCTGAGTGTACTACACAAAGCTGATATAATTCATGGATTGTTGCATAAAAACAATGTCTTTGCATTGAACCGAGAAGAGGGAATTGTTGGAGATTTTGATTTCACCAAATCTGAGGTAAAAAAATATTTTCCTTATAAATAAATAGGTATTTTACACATCCTAAGATTAATAGCTTAAATATTAAAATTTTAGGATGTGTAAAATCCAAGGAATTTGAGGAATTACTCAGTTTAGTATTTTGATACTGGCATGTTGTTTTTGTTAGCAAACTATAACAGAATAATAAATCCATCAGTAATAATATGATAGGGCCTTCCAAAAACATAACAAGGTGGGGATCAATCTTTAGAGTAATTATATTCCATAAGGAGAGAGCCATCACCAAGAATGCCCTATTTTTTGGTCTCAGCAGATGCATTTCTGTAATGGATGGAATCAGTAATATACGTTGTCTTCTTGCCCTGGAAGCTGAGCGGATGTAAATGTGGAAGAGGTAGTCTTTCAAATAAACTGTCCCCAGCTATGTAAAGCTTTCAAGGTGATAACCAGCATTTTAAATTGCACCTGGAAGCAAATTGACAATCAGTGCAGTTCTCCCAAAAGAGGTGACACATGCAAATCTATTGTGCATCATTTTGCAAGCCGTTGCAGTTTGAGTCAACTTCTGGATATTCTTCAAGAGTAGGTCCATGTAGACTTCATTACAAAAGCCCAAATAAGAGTTGACCAAGAGGGGTGACTGTGATAAGGACACATTGGTTCAGTAATAGGCATTACTAGCATATAACGCACAGTTGTGCAAAGACTCATGTCATCTTATTTATCACCTGATCCTCAAGTTGGAGTTGCAAGTCCATGACAATCCCAGGTGCAACTTCACCCATAACCTGCAGCAATGCAACTTCATCCATAGCCAAATACGATAATTTCACCAAGAAATAAGGCAGGGGTTTGTAACCTTAAACACTCAAAGAGCCATTTGGACCTGTTTCCCACAGAAAAGAAAACACCGCCACAAAAGCTGGGTGGATATGGCCAACTCAACATCACTCACTCACACCCAGTCATGTAACTATGCCTACCCAGCAGGTCATTAGGGCAAAGAACTACCGGGAATCACAAAACTCTTGACATCTCCTCCTCCTCTCTATCTCTGTCTCTCTTTCCCCATCTGTATCTGTTAACCCTCCCCCCTGTTTCTCCCTCTCCCTCTCTCTCCCTCTCCCTCTCTCTCCCTCTTTCCCCCTCTATCTCTCCCTCTCTATCTTTCCACCTCTTTCTCCCTCTCTCTCTATATATGTCTCTCGTTTTTCCCCTTCCCCCCTCTCTCTGTATCTCTATGTCTCTCCCTCTCTTTCGTCTCTCTGTCTTTCTCTGTATATCTCTCTCTCCCTCTCCTTCTCTATCTTCCTCTTTCTCCCCCATCTGTATCTCTCTCTCTGTCTTTCTCTTTCTCCTTCAATTTCTGTGTCTCTATCTCTCTCTTTCCCCCTCTCCCTTTCTATCTCTCCCTCTCTGTAGCTATGTGTGTCTGTCTGTTTCTCTCTGTATGTGTGTCTGTCTCTCTGTGTGTATGTGTCTGTCTCTCTCTGTCTGTCTCTTCTCTCTTTCTCAGAAAGCAGAAGCTGGACCAACCCAGTGAACTCTTCTTGTGGCTCTTCACTATTCCTTTTCTTTCTTCTTGGCAACTTTTTGGAAATCCAGGCTGCCTGAGGTATGAGCGCAAGCCATGGCGGAAGCTTCCCTTCGGCCAACCCTGTTCTCATGGCATCCTGACTGGCTGTGGTGGGGAGGTTACCCATGAGTGGGGAGACACTCCTCAAGTGAGCGGCCAGGCTCAGCCAAAGCACAGCAAAAGCACAGGGGATCATGAGAGAGGGAGAAGGAGGCGGGTCATAGACAGGTCGTCTACCTGTCATTACGCCCCTATCTCCTTTGACGTCTGACCCTGCTGGCTGGCTTCATAGAGGGTTCTGTGGTTTGTCATGGGGCGACATAAGACCTGTCAGTTGGCCTTGTGGCCATTGACCTGGTCCCTTAGGATACCTTCTAGGCCTTTCCTATACTGCGGCCTTTCCCTTCTTCTTTGGTTCGCGGTTTGCTCCAACTCAGACGGGGCTCTTTTAACTGGCTTTCTACTCATGCCTGTTCGACACTGGATACTGGACATTGAACTTAAGGCATTCTATCATAGCCCTCCTGGAACTTTTTGGACCTCTCTTTTGCAATATCACTTATATCATCTCCTGCGCAAGGAAGAAAATTACTTCCCCTTTATATCTTCGCGAAACCCTCCTGACTGGACTCTTGGCGAACCCACCCACAAACTCTATTTGAATTTGCACTGTTTTTAACAACTGCGCAATTTTCCCTTTGTTATGGTGAGTGCATGTGGTATGTGTGTGTTTGATTGAATGATCCCACAGTTTTAATTTAATGAATTTTTGCTTAGCCATTTTATTGTATTGCTGTATTTTAATTAGTGGGGTATGCATGCGCAGAGTGCTTGGCCGGTATGGATAGGGGGACTGAGAGTGCGGCCCGGAGCCCCCACCACTGAGTGCACAAGCAGAAGTGGATGGGGGCCCGGATTTGCCTCTCGTCTCAGAATGTGTGGTATGACTGGCCTGCCTGGGAGAATGAAGGCCATGGGAGGGGAAGTGGGGCCTATGGGTACGGGGATGGGCCGGTGCATCCCGGTCATAGTTGGGAGAGGCAGGTTTGACGGGAGTTATAGAGCTAGCCATTACCGGGGAAGGAGGGTTCGCTACATCACAGTGATCCCCCCTTCTGGCCTTGTTAGCTCCACTCCAGGACCAGATGGCGAGAGTTGTCAGGGTCCTGGTCTCAGGCTGCTGTTGCTAAATGCCAGGTCTGTGGTTCACAAAGCTCCCCTCATCCGGGACCTAATATTAGACAAGGGGGCAGACCTGGCATGTATTACTGAAACCTGGCTAGGCCAAGAGGGAGGAGTCCCCCTCACTGAAATGTGCCCAGAAGGGTTTCAGGTGCTCCACCAGCCGCTCCACCAGAGAAGGGGTGGGGGAGTGGCTGTCATCATCCGAGAGTCACTAGTGCCTCGTAGGATCCCTGCTCCGGAGGCTGTCGGGTGTGAGTCCTTTCTGGTGAAGTTGGACCTTGGGGGTCAAGTGGGTTTGTTTCTAACGTACCTACCTCCCAACTGCGTTACAACAGCCCTGCCTGTGCTCATCGAGTAAGTAGCCGAACTGGCGATTGAGTTCCTGGACTCCACTTGCACGGTACCAGCCGAGATGCTGGGGGAAGGTCTTGATCGGATCTTATGGAGCGTGTTTCAACCTGTGGACAAGGAAGTGGAGGAAGTGGACAAGGTCATGGGAGTGGTGAGTGCCTCCACCTGTTTACTGGACCCGTGTCCCTCCTGGCTGATCTCGACCAGCAGAGAGGTGACACGTGGCTGGCTCCAGAGGATTGTTAACACTTCTCTTTGCGAGGGATCCTTCCCGCACCCCCTAAAGGATGCGGTGGTGAGACCCCTCCTTAAGAAACCTTCCCTGGATCCAGCCATCTTGAACAACTATTGCCCAGTTTCCAACCTCCCATTCGTCGGGAAGGTTGTTGAGCAGGTGGTGGCCTTTCAACTCCAGTGGACCTTGGATGAAACAGATTATCTGGATCCCTTTCAGTCGGGTTTCAGCCTGGTTATGGCACCGAAACTGCTTTGGTCGCGCTGATCAATGATCTCTGGCGGCCCAGAGATAGAGGACATTCCTCTATCCTTGTGCTTCTTGACCTCTCAGCGGCCTTTGATACCATCGACCACGGTATCCTTCTGCGACGGTTACGGGAGGTGGCAGTGGGAGGCACCGTCTTACGGTGGTTCTCCTACCTCTTGGACAGGTCGCAGTTGGTGTTGGTTAGGGGACAGAGATCGACCCCTAGGCCCCTCAAATATGGGGTGCCGCAGGGTTCGATCCTGTTCCCCCTCCTATTTAATATCTACATGAAGCCGCTGGGTGAGATCATATGCCGGCACGGGATCAAATATCAATATGCGGACGATACTCAGTTGTATCTGTCCGCCCCGTGCCAACTCAGCGAAGCGATGGAAGTGATGTGCCAGTGCCTGGAGGCTGTCAGGGTCTGGACGGGAGCGAACAAGCTTGCACTCAATCCTGACAAGACCAAGTGGCTATTGATGCTGCCTCCCAAGGATAGTCCAGACATTCCACCTCTTAGCCTGGGGTGTGAAATTATACACCCCTCAGAGAGGGCCCGCAATTTGGGTGTCCTCCTGGACCCACAGCTGACGTTAGAACATCACTTGTCAGCTGTGACCAGAGGGGCTTTTGGCCAGGTTCGCCTGGTGCAACAATTGCGGCCCTACCTGGACCGGGAGGCACTTAGAATGGTCACTCACGCCCTCGTCACCTCAAGACTGGATTACTATAACACGCTCTACATGGGGCTGCCCCTGAAGAGTGTTCGAAGACTACAGTTGGTCCAGAATGCAGCCATGCGAGTGATATTGGGTGTACCTAGATACACCCATGTTACACCTATCCTCCGCGAGCTGCACTGGCTCCCCATTGGTCTCCGGACGCGCTTCAAGGTACTAGTCGTTACTTTTAAAGCCCTACATGGTTTAGGACCTGGCTACCTGAGAGACCGCCTCCTGCCATTTACCTCCCAACGTCCAATAAGATCACACAGGTTGGGCCTCCTTCGGGTACCGTCGACCGGACAATGCTGGCTGGCGGCCCCTCGGGGGAGACTCTTCTCTGTAGCTGCGCCGGCCCTGTCGAACGAACTACCCGTAGAGATCCGGACCCTCACCACTCCCGGCCTTCCATAAAGCCACCAACACCTGGCTGTTCCGGCAGGCCTGTGGCTGTTGATTAATATCCAGCCCCTCTTGGTCAGAATGGATGTTGTGTTAATTTTAATATTGTATTTCTTATTTTAAAATTTCAAAAAATGCTTTTATCTTGCCTGTGAGCCACCCAGAGTCCCTATGGGAGTAGGCGGCATACAAATTTCATTAAACTAAACTAAATCTCAACTGTTCTTTAGAGCCCATTGTAAGAAAAAGTCTCCTACAAAAGAGACTTGTGAGACTCTGCAGCCAGAGTGTTTTGGATAACAACAACCATACCAGCTTCTCTTTTTGCAGGCTGACCTGGCATTTAAAAGCAACAGCTTAAGACCTGCTTCGCTGTTGATCTGCTGACCAGATAAAAAGGCTGAGTTTAAGGAGCTGGAACATGCAACCAGTACAAGAAGTCTCCTGCAATTATATCTCCCCATATCTGACACCACTGAAATAGAATACCTGAATGGCATTAACAATAATAAGAGTTCAATATGATGAATGGGGTTAAGAGTCAAAGCCTGTGTATTAACCTCTGGACTGTTTTACTTTCAGAGTGAGCGCGCTTTGTCAGATTCTATGACACTGAATGGCTTGAGCTTAATTTCCCCTGAGCTAAGAAAGGGTCAGCCACCTTCTCCAGCTTCAGATATGTATGCTTTTGGTTGTCTGCTTTACTGGGTATGTAAATCTTCGGTAACAGGCATTGCTGTATCACAGTATAAATCATCTTGACTCCTGTTTTGTGTTTGCCTAAAGAAATATAATGCTTCTTGGAGAAAAAAAATGGTAACCAATATAATAAAATGAATATTTGAAGATTAAAGAATTATAGTTTCCATAATTATCAAATCAAATTTTGTTTACTGCACTTTTGTTGATATTGATTGGTAATCTTGCCAGTTGTGTCAGGAATGTTCATTTTGCGCCAGTCTGGTCTCCAAGTGGATTAGTACTTGCCTAAGAAGCCTAGCACAGGAAATTGGGAGGTGGAGGGGGGAGAAGGTGGGAAAGTGGATAGAAGAGCAGAACCGGATGAAGATTATGCAGGAAATTCAGTGCTGAGGGAGTGGTTAGGGGAGTAGTTTGGGTAGTGCAATGTTTTGTTTATTGCTATTAGGAATAATTTTGTTATCTTTTAAATGTGTAGCTACTTATTGGAAAGGAAGAAATCAAAACAAACATAGATGGAACTCCTCAAGTTGATGCCCTTGCTATGGTATGGTTTTTTCCAACCGAAATGTTTCAAATTTAACTGACTTTTTAAAGGAATGTTAAATAAAAATAATTAAGACAAGTAAGGTTATAAGTGATATAAATTGACAACTATTCATACAGAATCTTTCAAAACATTTTCATATTGCTGATTATATATATATATATATATATATTTAACCAGGCTACCCAGTATTTATATAAGTACCCAGTACTTATATAAAGTAAGACATAGTTCCCATAAGATTATAAAATAGAAACCATCTTGCTAAGATCTGAGTCACATGCAAAATCAGATTTCCTAACCTCCTCCCCCTTGCTAGTCAGAGGATTGAAGTTTCTTTGGATAACAAGAAGAAGCTGCTAGATAGAGGTAGAGTGTAACACCTCCCCATAGATTCAGATAAAAGAGAAAAACAGTCAAAGCGTATCTCCAATAGTTTTTCTTACTAATTTTTAATATTCTAATTTTTTCTTTGGAGGTACACTTTACTGTTACAGGTTGCAATGACTTAAGCAAAACAGCTTCATTTAACAACCCCACACCTTGCAACTCTGAGTAAGGGGAGATGCCACTGAAGGCCTTGCAGGACTACGCTTGCTCCAGGACCCAACAATGTCCAATTCACTTATTTGTGTTTGACAGCGTCTGAGAGAGGCATCCAGCCCAATACAGGATCAGTTTCTGACAAACTCATTCTCTTGCCAATTTCATACTATTTTGTAAGAGGTTCTATTCTCACAGTTCTGTAAAGGTTTCTTTTAAAGGAGGCACAATTTTTAAAGAGTTTCTATTTGTTTGTGGAGTTTATGGATCCTTAAAGATGCCAACAGGTTGTGAAAATAACACCTGCATTATTTGTATTTGATTCTTGTGTCATTTATTTTATTTTAACAATAATTTAGATTTTTTTTCAGTGGTGTATAGGATATCCAGCCATGTTGAGGTTTGCACTCTCTGGATTCAATCCTAGCTGTTTCATGTGCATATAAAAGTCACTATTCGTGCTATATTTTTCATTGTTCTGAGTTTCTACTTTATAATATTTTTTTTCACTGAATTTGCAGTTTACAACAATAATAATATATTAAAGTTGTATCCCATCTGATTATAACTCTGGGCAGCTAATAACAACTAAACAAAGAAATTATAGTACAATCAATACAACATAAAAGATAAAGATAAAATATGGGAAGCATTATGGACCAGAAGGAATGAAGCGGAGCCTCTCACTCTCTCCTTCACCTGTGTGAGGGGTCTTTGTTTTTCTAAAAATAGTGTATACATTAGGGGAATCTGCATGATAAGCTCAAAATTTGCAAGATGGTGGATGTGACATGTTCAGAGATTTACAATATATGAACATGAGATCATGGCCACCATCTTGCTGGTTTTGCCTTTCATCTGCAGTAGACCAAGCACTTTGTTTTCTATTTCAGAGATACATATTAAAATGTTAATTACTCTTTTTGAAAAATAAATATTCTAATTTATTGATTTTGAATAATTGTACTTTGAGTAATATTTCATGCTGGCTTTTTCTTTCAAGGATGATAAAGTTAAAGCTTTACTTTCACAACTCCTTTGCTATGAAAATCGGATGACTGCAGAACAGGTGTCGAATGCTGACTTCTTCTTGTCACCTGACCTGATTTCAGTTCCACTGGAAAGTGAGGGCACTGAATATGTCAATGGAGAACAGAGTTCAGAAAATGAGGTGTCTGATGAAAGGCTGAATAACAAGAGTGAACCTTCACCAGAGAAAGATTCTGATGGGTATATGAGTGATCAAAATGCAAATTATAAGTAAATAAGATCAGGGCAACCTATTAATCTCAAGCCTTAATCATAGTTAAAACAGCAGAAGATAACAATGTATAGTACTTTGAAAGGTTATATACATATGTTTTATGCTTTTGTATTCATTTTTTTCAACAAATGTGATACGTATCTAGTGCTTGACTTCAGTTATATTTTCAGTTATATTATATTTTTGAATGTTAAAATTCTCTTTATCTACTGTCAAGTATTCTTTCCACTTGTCTTATAGAAGTGAAAAACCACAAAATACAGAAGCTTTACATATTATCTTAGAGAATTCCAAAATTACATTCTTTAAACTAACCAGCTAATTTATTTAGTTAGTTAAGATTAGAGTACCCATAAATTAACATCTGGTATTGTTTTGGACATTAATGTTGCTGAATTGTTTGTAATTGTATTTTTTTTCCTGTTCAGTTACATGTTTGTTTTTGGAATAACAATATTAAACTATCAAAGTTTTGAAGCAAATGTGATATTTGGATAAATCGTGTTTTATAAATTAGAGAAGTTGATCTTAAATTTATATGTATCCATTTAGAAGAAGTGAATCTTTTGCAGTATCGGGCTGCAACTCCCCACTAGATGGAGACCTTGCCTTTTAAGCAGCAGAGCTGAATTGGCATATTTAAGAGCAGCAGATGGTGAAATGCTGCTTTTGACTCTTTCAACTGGTTGTATATATTGCTATTTAAGGAATTTACAAAACCATTAATTCTGTGAAAAATGAGAGGCTGCCTCTAAATATGTAAATAGGTAATTCTTGTGTTCAGTTGGAGAATGTAGGATTGTATCTTCTTCAATTTCTTCTGAATTCTCAATTCTTTTTAAAGAGAATTCTATATAACTATATATATATAGTCTAGGATCAGAGAGAGAGAATAAGACACCATACAAAAGTAAATAGCAAGATACTTATAATTGTTTTCTATGAACTAGTACCTACTTAATAACATTAGAGTTTGCAGATTACAATTAAATCTTATTGAATGAGTTGGATGTCAGGTAAACTGGCATAGTATAATGCCTACTCAAATATTGGGTCTCCTTGGTATCATAACCTGCATAAGGTGGCATGTCTTCATGCTTTGTAAGTATGAAACTGAATCTTTCGACTTCCAAATGGACTAATCCATTTGGATTTCATTTTTGAGGAAAGGCAGGAGGCTTTCCTTGTCCCTTCTTAGCACTTCAGAGACAATAACAATCCTTAAAATATCTCAGTGTAAGAAAAACTATGCAGTGTCTGAAGTAGTGAAATAAGCAACAAGTACACTAATATGGCAAAACTGAGTTAATGATTAAATATTTCCTCCAGAAATAGAAAAAAAATTGTCATGTTATTTTTTTCCTGTCGCTGCAAAACTTTTTGAGAAGTACTGAATACAGATTAGCACTAAAACACTCAATACTTTTTCGGCATATAAGTTTCTTCCAAGTCTCTGAATAACTTATTTCTATCTATAGACAGTTCATTAGAAGTACAGAAATCATATGCTGCATCATATGCTGTTAGGAAAAATGCATTTCCATCAAAGTAATTTAGGCATAAAAATTTATTACTCTGCTCAGATAGTTACCAGTGGCATTAATTTCCTTGTTTCTTTAAGATGTACCTGTCAAGGATGGCTCTAATCTTTCTTAAGTGTTTGCTTTGATGTTGGAACCTTAGACATGTTTAATACAATAATCTGGTGATATTTTCAGACATTCAAGTAGCAGGAGCTAAATGCAAATTGTTACGGCAGATAATATCTGGGTCTTTCTAATGTTTATCAAAGATCTTTATTCAGGTTTGCAGCGATAATAAATCAATGCAGTACATACCAGTGTTCTGGATATATTGTAAATAAAACTAATCTGGTATTTGATGAATTGGTAATAGGATTATGTTTAGAACTTTTTTTGTTTTTATTTAGACTATTAGATCCACAATGATGATTCCCGTTATTTTGATTTTCTAGTGGATAAGAAATAATAACACTTCAGATTGTATAGTACAGATTAATAATTATGGCCTCAAGATCAATGAACTGGGAATTAAGACAAATTTAGATATTCTCAACACACTGACAAATTCTATGAAATGGTCACATGCCAATATCCATTTTAAAAAGGTGTTGAATTTAAATAATTGGAGGTATTTTTAAAAGTTCTTTAATGTATTGAAACAATGATACATACTGTACTTTTTGGAGTATGACACACCTTTTCCCCCTAAAAGAGGGTGAAAATTTGGGTGCGTCTTATACACCGAATGTAGCCTGCCCCCCCCTCCCTTGACCTCTGCCTCCCAGCAATTTACCTCCTTGCAGCAAAAAATGGGGCTTGCAGAGGCAGCAATAGGCTACGGCAATCCCTGCAGGCTGAAACAGCTGATCATCATGAGGCCCGTATTGAAATTGAAACGGGCTGTTTGCTGCAAGGAGGCAAAATTGCTGGGAGGCAGATTTTTTTCGCCTTCTAATCAGGATAAACTTAAACAGGCTGTTTGCTGCAACGAGATAAGTCAATAACTATAAATACCTGTAGAATGTTCAAATTATTAGAATTATTTTTTAAAGACTGATTTATTGTTCTAGACAACTTAACAAAATGAAGAAACTTTTTAAAATAAATACTTGATCTAAAGAGGCCCAGTGCTATTATATCTTCTTTTAAATAGCAGAAAATAATGTATACTTCCAGAAAGCCACATCAATTTTAACAGCATCTGTGCAAGTATAGTCTGAAATGTAACAGTGTCCTATGGTAGTATTTAGATAAGGCAGCTGAGTTAAACCCTGACTTAGTCAGGTTTGGAGTATGTATTAAAATAATTGGGAGGAGTTAGTGTGACTATATTTAAGAAAACTTTCTGGCATTAATATACTGCCATAATGTACATTTCTCAAATTCTTTGCTATTTCTATGAGTCAGGCACACATGCACAGAAATACACCACAGTGTATATTGTCTGTGGTGTTTGCTGCAAGGAGGAAAATTGCTGGGAGGCAGAGGCAAATCCCCCCCCCCCCCTTGTTTTCCTCTCCAAAAGCTAGGTGCATCTTATATTTCGGAGCGTCTTGTAGTCCGAAAAATACGGTAATATTATTATGGGCCCAGTTGGAAGTACTCCATATCAATGTTTCTCAACCTTAGCAAGTTTAAGATCTAGCCAGCTTCTAAGCATAATAGGAATTCTCAGCAATCATTAACATTAAAGGCATTTAGATGCATATGTCATTAGGTAAGTAATTAAAATCTCTCTCTGGAAATCAATTCTCTGGTATGTCTTCTATAAAGACGGAGGAAAAAACCTTTTTTTGGAAAATGAGCAGAAAATATATAATTCTTCATCGGTTCATTATTAATGTGGTCCACCAAAACCAACTGAATTACAATTTTAATTAAAGCATTTGTTAATATTTTTTTGTTTAGCCCAGATACCTTGACTGCTTCCAAATCCCCTCTGACGGAATCCATTAAACACAAAAGCTAGGCTTATTAAATACTGCCAAAAATAAATGAATAAACCTGGATGCAAGAAATGTGGAACAGAATTGGAGTTTGTAAGACAAAACTTACTGCTTGAGTCTTAGCAGTATAAATGTTTCATATAAAATAATATTAATTTAACAAGAAAAACCTTTAAAATCATTGGATGTTTTTTAAAATATGGCTAATATCTTTATTTTGGATATCCCAGATAAGGCTGCAGCAACTCCACCTGATAAAGTTGGTCAATGACCCTTTTGGCCACAGGTTCCATTGCTGGTTTAGTAGGAGTCACAAATCCAAGAAGTCTGCCAAGTCATGGACCTGCTCCTTCAGTAATAAGTCAACCCCATCCACTGGCTACTGGGACAAGTAATTATAAATCCTCTCTTCAGATTTTGGCAAAAGTCATATACTAGAGCAGTGATGGCTAACCTTTTTGCCATAGTGTACCAAAAACAGGGGAAGCACAGGGGGGTCAAGTGCGAGCATGCCCACACCCATAATACTATGCATGTGACCCCCCCATGAGCATATGACCCCCCACTTTTGGTACGCAATGGACCCATTCGCCAAGTTGGTGGAGACAGTAGCCATGCATGGGGTTAACTCTCAGTATCCAATAGGACTGAGTCTACCAAACATGATGTCATAGCCTCTGAGGTGTGTCCTCCCGCTTTTTAGACTCAGTCGATCTTGGATTGGCTGTGCTATTTGCTGTCTCTTCAAGTTTGACTACTTTAAATTCAATCAATTGGCTATCTATACAAAAAAAATCCTTTAAAAAGATTCCTTACCTTCAAATTGGCTGCAAAAGGCAGGGATTGTCGGAGCAGCGATGATAGCTCCCCTGCAGGGATGCAGGGTTCCAGCTACCTTCTGATGGTTCTGAGGGGAAGCAAGCCCATGAGGCGACTCCATGACCTCTAGCCTTCCCGGTTCTCCACAGCGGCCTTAGTAAGCCTTGAGGATTTTCCTGTATGTTGCTTGGAGAGTCCAAGCATGGTTAAATTCTGTCCGACTGCCCTGGACTGAATTGAAAGATTTTTAACCACGCCTCATGGCTATTACTCCGCAGCTGTGGTGGTGGACATCTTAGAATTCTTGCAACTTGGACTCAACAAACAATTCTCTCCTAACACACTCTGGCGGCCTCTTTCCTCAGTCCTCACACCGCATCAGTTCGAACCACTCTCCTTGCACCCCCACATGTGGAGATTTCTTAGGGGCACCGCCAACCTAAGTCCTCCGGTCTCCCACAGATTCCCTAAGTGGGATCTGGCCAAGGCCCTCGACTTCCTCACTGAACCACCATTTGAACCTTTGAAGTCTTCCTCACTGCAGCATCTAACGCTGAAGGTGGTCTTAGTCGCCATCGCCTCAGTGAGGAGGGTCTCAGAATTGGCGGTGGTCCTTCCGATCTGACTGCATGTTCCACCCAGATAGAGTCATCCTTCGGCTCGACCCCACCTTCGTCCCTAAAGTAAATTCGGCCTTCCGCAGATCTCAAGACCTTGTTCTTCCCAAATTATAGGCTCGAACGAAAGTGCCACACACTGGGTGTGTGCCATGCCCTCAAGGTCTATATCAACAGGACAGCTGACTTCAGGCGTACTGAGGCTTTTTTTGTTTCCTTTATTCCTACCCACAAGGGACTAAAGGCTTCATCTTCCAATATTGGGTGCTGGATCAAGTCTTCCATCTCAAAGTTATCAAGCTCATCATTTGATTCCACCATCTAATGTCACAGCTCACTCAACTTGTAGTGCGGCAACCTGGGTTACTCGGGCCTCAATTGGGGAAATCTGCAGGGCGGTCACCTAGACTATGCAAACACAGTTTATTCGATACTATAAAATAGACAAGTACGCATTGGCGGATGCGGCTTTCAGAAGGTGGGTTGTACAACATGTTCTTCCTTCACAGGTCACCTAGGCCATGCACAATCTCACCCGTGGACAGGCCAAGCTTTGGTATGTCCCATGCATGGTTGCTGTCTCCACCAACTTGGAGAATGGCGTTGGTTTTTAATCTGATACGCCTGTTCTCTGGGCAGGTAAAAACAGCAGCCATCCCCTCCCTTTCTCTGTGCGAGCCTAGATCGTCAAGAGACTAGAGAAGGTCCATTAACAGAGGAGCAGTTGAGAGCATTCATATAGAACACAACAGTCTACTTATCTCCGTCAAAAGCGGGAGGACACACCTCAGGCTATGATGTCATGTTTGGTAGATTCAGTCCTATTGGATACTGACAGAGTCAACCCCATGCATGGCTGCGGTCTCCACCTGCGCAGAAAACGGGCATATCAGGTAAGAAACCAACGCCCATTTCCAGAGGCTTTCTAGGAGCCTGGGAAGGGCAAAAACCACATCCCCCATTGTCTCAAAAGACATTTGAGAGAGTAACCTATCCATTCCCTCAGATTTTATAGACAAAAGTCCCAAGTAACAGCAAATCACCACACAACATCCTATCAAAATGAAATCCAGGCTTAATACAAGCAAATTTACCAATATGCTAATTGGTTAAGTTCTACTAAACTCTAATCCAGTAGTGACTAAGTAGAGTCACTACTACCCAGAAGGGAATTAGCCAATCCAATATTGACTACCAAGTTCCTCATATCCCATTACATTTTTGCTGCTTTCCGAAGCTCCATCCCATGCTAAGGAGAGTGATGGATGTTTTTCCTACTAGCTGGTGAATTTTAGAGGGAATAAATAATGTGATTTTTCACATCTTCTGCGGTAAATCTATAAAGATAATGTTCTAACATTGGTCTTCTAACTGACCTTATAACTGGGTCAAAAAAGGACTTGCAATAAAGGCAGTTCCAAGTGCTCCAGCATGTTTTCCTATATCCTCAGGATTAATGAAAATACTAACTGGGAACAAAAGTCCTTATAGTAGCTTAACTCAAATAACACTGTTTTGTAAATAATATATACCAAATTCTGCTGTCATTGTGCACCATTATCCCTAAACTATAAATAGCAAATGAATGCAATTTAAGAGAGGTGTTAGGAATATAATTTAGGAAAACCTTGGAATGGAATAACTTTCCCTGGCCAACTCGTGGGACAGCTGGCCACAGGACAATTCAATAAATAAAAGAATAAAAGTTAATTTCAATGGAACCATGGCTGATAATAAAGTCAATCCAGAAATACAAGAGTTACAATAATTTTGATACAAAACATCACCAATAATAAAAGTAACAATGAAATTATTAATAAAGTGTTGAATTATCCTACAGCAAGTTGTGCAATGGCAACTTGGCTGTGGTGAGTTGTCCCCATGATGAATTGGCATGACAAATTGTCCTTAGATTTGTAAAACTTTCATGTGTAGTATTTAAAAACATTTCATAATTAGGGATTGCCATGATTATCAGCTCTTCTTCCTCTTTAAAATGTATAAATCCTTTAAATTTAATGATCAGAGCTAAACAGGCAACTGAATATATTTTATTGAGCCAGTTTTATCAGAGATTTGTTTGAACATTTTCACAATTTGAAATATGGCTGTAGAAAGAGGGCACTACATTTTAACTTTTTTTCTCTTAAACCTAGTTTTATGCCTATTTCATTTATGTTTTGTCAATGTCAATGCTGGGGAATTCTGAGTTGAAGTCTATATCTTAAAAGTTGCTTAGTTTGAAAAACATTAACGTATATGAAATACTTTCTAAGAATGACTTAAAATGACTTAAAAGACTTAAAAAATAATTTAGTACAAAATAGGCTATATAAATACATAATTATATCACATATATGTAGAATCTATGTGTAGTATATAGAAATTGGCTGACCCATAAATTTAACCACCTTATGTAAAAGGTGGTACCACATTTTAATTTCATTGTTGCTAACCATATTTGTATGTCAGCAAATGGAGAGGTAAGAACAGCAAGTAAATCATTGGTGGGAACAAACTTATATTTTAAATATTCCAATGTATAAATAGCAGAGGGTGCATATAATTTTCATGTCATATTTGCATAATAGTATGTCCAAGAGAATAATGGGATTCAGAATTTCTAAAGTTTCATACTTAAAATTGTTTTAAACTGCAAATGCTGGTATAGTATGAAAAATTACTGTTGGTACTAACTGAAATTTAAATAAAATTATTCATTTTTGCTTCCTTTCTAATTTTTAATTCTTCTCAAACTTTGGTCAGCTGTGTTTTATTTTTGTAAATAAATGAAAGAAGGTCAGATGCAAACAATAAAGTTTAGATTATGTTATTGGATTCCTTAACCATAATATATAAATGAACTGCTCTTTGTTTCAAATGCTTTAAGAAATTTGGCCTTGAATCAGCTCTGGACAAACAGTAAAGCAACAGGAGTTTTGATGCTCTGAATTTAATCTTCCAGCTGGAACAATGGCTCTGTCTGGTCTAAAAACCAATTCAACTTTGAATGTAACAACATAGAAATTTCTGGAATATTTATTGAAATTAAAATATTTCACTCTCAGTTAAGCCTCAACACTATGCTAATAAAAATCTGTTACATAAGATGAATTTTTCAAGAGGATTATATATAGACACAGGCAGAATTTTAATAACCAGTAGGAACAGCCTAATCACAAAAGGCAAGTGATTTTTGCATCACTAGAGCTTCCAATAGATACTTAAAGACATGTAGCCTTGCTGCAATTATTCACTATAGTTGTCTTGAATTCTGATGATATTGAACCCAAAATGGGAGCTGTGCATTTAATTACATTCTATTGATGGAGGAAGCATGGTATGAAAAATAAAATCAAAATTTAAGAGTCTCAGAGATTACATATATAATATATAGTCTGTATATTATATATAATAATTTATATTTACTATATACACATAATTTTATTATAAATTACATATTTATTATTTTACTATAAATATATAATTATATATTTATTATCTATATAACAATGTAAATACATTTTTGTTTACTGACTGCCAAGTGAGTAACTATATTAGAAAAATAGTACATACAATCATAAGAAAAGTTTTTTATTTTATATTTTTATAACTTATCAGAGACACTGACTATTTCAGTATGATTCACCAAAGTACCCAGTAAAAAACCCTGATAAAACTTTTTATTATAAATAAAACAATAATGTTTTAACGATAATTAATTAAACTTATGTGCCTCCTGACTCTTTGGACAGCTCACAACAATCTGATAAACACTGCAATAATATTAGTAAAATATAAGTAATTATTAATGCCACAAAGGTAAAAGAAGGCAAGAATGATGAAGCATGGGATATCACTATGCTTTGCTGCAGTCCTGTGTGAAGAGTCAAGCCTTTGTGGTTCTCATAATAGAATGTGACAATAAGCTTGTAAGATGGGGGAAGAGAGAGAATATTGCCTAGGGCAATGATGGCTAACCTTTTTGTTGTCCCATGCCGAAAGGACGCATGTGCCTGCACGACAGTGTTTGCGTGTGCCCACACCAATAATACAGTGCTCACACAACCCCACTCCTGTGCATGAATGCACAACCTCCGCACATGCACACACAACCCTCCGTGCTTTCTCCCTGTGCATGTGCTCCACCACCCCTCACTCATTTTTTGCTTCCAGGTTAGCACAGGAGGCCTTCCAGGACAAAACAGGGTGTCGGGGTGCTGCGTGAGGTTTCAAAATGCAATGTTAGTACTCACATGCGCCCCCCCCCACGTATGCGTGGCCCAGACCCGAAATCCAGCTGGCCGGTAGGAGGCACACATGTACCGTGGATCTGGGATGGGTGATCCTGGCATGCCCGCAAAGAGGTATACATGCCACAGGTTCACTATCATGGGCCTAGGGAATGATCATAGAGCTGTGGTGGTGCAATGGCTAGAATGCAGTATTGCAGGCTAATTCTGCCAATTGATGATTGCTGGCAATTTGAGACTTGACTCAAGGTTGATTCTTGTGTTGTGCTGTGGAAGTGGCGGGTGAGCATGTAAAACTTCATTTGCAGATGCACTTTATCTAGATGGGTGCGTGAAACCAACCCTTCTTCCACTCTGCCACTCCTGGTTCATGGAGCCAGAAAGATTGGGGACCGCTGCTTATCAGTTTTACATACCAAAGCCATAGCACTTCTCAAAGTTTTTATTTTAACTATAATTAAGTTAAATTATGAACAGCTGTTCCTTGATCTGTGGTATGTAAGTGATGAGAAAGTCATTCCTACTTGAAATTTTAAGAGGTTAAATAACAGAATCCTATGACATTATTATGATTCATCTTTATTGCTTTGTACATTCTGGTTAATAACAACTTCATTCTTTTTCATTTTCAAGGATAACAAACTATTGTCAGAATTTCTTAATTCCTACTAAAATTAGTTATTCATAAGAACTAAATACAGTAAGATGTGGCA